GAGCTCCTGTCTTCACTCCAGCTCCTTCCAGCCTAGAAGTTTGAAAGTATGTAAATGTGAGTACCACTTTGGTGGGAAGGTACCACTTTGGTAGGAAGGTACCACTTTGGTGGGAAGGTAACAACACTCTGTGACATCATGCTGGCCACATGACTATGGAAATGTCTTTGGACAGTGCTGGCTCAATGGCCTTGAAAAGGAGATGAGCACCACCCTCTACAGTCAGCAATGTCTAGCGGAGTGAAATCCATAGGGACTCCTTTGAGTTAGAATCAAAATTCCCTTCATGAAGTCTCCAAAAGATTCAGATGGTCTTGGGGTGTCAACAAGAAACTAACATAGTATTTATCATCTTGTCTCTTTTCTCCAGCATCTTGCTCTAAATATGAAAGTTGGATGTTTGGTTATTGTGAATTTTAATCTTCCACTAGCTTCTATGTTTGTTAAAATCCACTTGTTGCAATATGTTCCAAATAAGTGTTTTTGTGGCACTAAATTTATATTTCCATATATGCCTAGTGTACACAAGTTAACTTTGCATGTTAAAGCTGTTTCAACTTGAGATTTGACAGCTTAATGAAATATACTTCAAGTTATTTCTTTCTTCTTTTAAGGTATGGGGAACTAAGCTGGACTTTCCCCAAAACTATTAACCATGCAAATATAATTTTAGGTACATACATCTGGAATGGATCAAAGTGACTGTGGTTAAAAGAATGCACACAATCAAACCCAGATGTTAAAATATAGCAGTGTCTCATAGGCTCAACAGATCTCAATGGATAACAAATGAAAGATAAATGTTTGAATGTAAAAGGACTAAGTGGCTTTAAATTTAGGTGGCTTGAAGGTGATGGGGATGGTGAATAGCTTTATATCAAAGTAGGTGTGAGGTCCAAGAATTTTAAGAACTCCAGGCAAGGTCTGTTTTTTTTTTTTTTAACAGACTTCTTTTTCTAAAGACAGGATGTTAAGTAAACTTTCCTATAAGGACAAAGACTAGCAATCTCAGACTGAACCTATGTGATTTAGCAAATTCATTTATTCTGTATTTATCACATTCCATTCCTGTTCCTTGTCTGAGGATTTCAAAGCCCTGTGTGTAAGGTTATCTTCACAACAACCCTATCAAATAAATTAGGGTAAGAACTATGATTGATTTAAGCCCACCCAGTTTGCTTCATAGCAGAAGTGGAATTTGAATTCAATATGCTATCTGGTACATCATCTTAAGCCTCAACAAAACTGCTTTTGTAGTTTGGTAAAAACAATTATGCCACTTTTTAAAACTGCTTTTCACATCATAATAACTTGGACAGGACCAACAGACATTTTTTGCCAGGAATTTATGGCTAATCCACCCAATCTGTCCCACAGGTTTTGGTAAACATGAAGATGGATATAATGCTAAATAAACTTTTCTGATCCTGACTTGTTCAAATATGTTAGAACTTCACCTTCCAGAGTTATCAACCAGAATTAGAGTTTCAACATATCCACTGGTTCTTTGGACGGTAGGGTCTTTGGGTCTTTGGACGGTAGGTAGTTAAAAGTTTTCTTAGATAATAAAGCTAATTAGATCATCATCTTCATCACCAATATGATTACTGGAAGTTTGCTTTGCTAGGAGGTAGTTCTACTCTATTCTACCTTAGAAGATAGAAGAACAAACCCCAAAGAACGTAAATCATTGTGTAGTCTTGTTGGCAGAAACCCTGTATGGCATAAGCCTCACTAGGTCTGTGCTTTTCTCAATCCCCATTATTTCTTTTATTCCAAAATGCTTCACAGATATGATCATCTTTATTACTGAATTGCAATAAAAAATAAATCCAACAAGTTGATCTTTAGGAGACAGAAGACGTTGAGCTTGCCCATCTTTTAAAATCAATTTGTGGGCTCCTTCTCCAAGACTTAGAAGGGACACCCATCCAGTTGCCAAATGCCAGAGACTGAGCCCTTTTTCTTCATGGCCCCATCAAGATGCATAAATATTTTAGATCTGGGAAGCTTTTACTTAAAATTGAGAAGCAGAATCTTCTTTCCTTTCTCTCTTTTTATTTATTTATTTGTATCCCACTTTTATTATTGTCACAAATAACTCAACAGGGTGATCATATCCAACACATCTTCCTCCTCCTATTTTCCCCACCACAACAACCCTGTGAGGTGGGTTGGGCTGAGAAAGACTGACTAACCCAAGGTCACCCAGCTGACTTTCATGGCTAACTTAGGTTCTCCCACTTTCTAGCCTTGTGACCACTAGACCATTGTTTCTGTGGCAACAATGCTCCCCATCTGTTTTGAAGCCATGAGTGTAATTGAAAGACATTCGTTAAAAAATAATAATGAAATATAATATTTCATTCAGATAATAATAAATGAGTTATTTAGTATTTCTGGTAGCACCAATCTTTCCAGAAGCATTGACTTGATCTAAAAAAAATGCCTACTTTTTTTAATGTTTTAATCACTGGGGACTCAAAGGCGCCACTTTATTTTATGCAAAAATTGAATGAACTGCTATATAAAAGAAAAATAATATTTTATGGAATTACATAATTGTGATATAGATTTTAATTTTGTTAACTGCTATATATGCATCATGAATATTTATGTTGTTTCATTAAGTTATGTATAGGTGATTACAGGTAAAAATAGAAGTCTTCCAAAGGACTTTACTGGCTTAAATTGTTTGATATTATGTGGATAATCTATCTTTGGGTATTGTTCTGTTTCTTTCAGTAGGGATATTGATTTTAATTTTGCTAATTGCTACATAGACTGTGGATGTTTATGTATGTGCTATGAATATTTATGTTGTTTCATTATGTTATGTACAGGTGATTACAACAGTAGAGAAATGTGACAGATAAATTAGGAAAGTCAGTCAACCTATAGCAGGTGAGAACCTGTCTCAAATCTATTCATTTTGAATTTACTTTATGGCCAAAACTTTTTTTCTTTAGGATTATTGAATACAAGATTGCTTGTCTTCAAATACTTATATAAACCTATTTACAGAAATACAAATGATGCTATAATTTCCCCAATTCCATCACAAAGCATAGGTTCCAGAAGGCTTAAAGGAGGATCCAATCTAATATATTGGTTAAGGTGCTCTAAAGACTAGGGATTCCTGTATTCATCCCTGCTCTCCACTGGGTAGTTTAAAACTGTTCCTGATATGTAGAGTCCTTGTTGCCCTCTGAGTTTGGTGGTTTGCCATCAGATGTTTCATTACTCAAGTAGGTGACATCATTAATACTTTCACCAGTGCCTTTATTATATGGCACTGATGATTTTACCTAGTTGGGTAATGAAATAACAGCAAGCAATGAAGCTCAGAGAGCATGAAGGACTCCACAGTTCAACCCTAGCTAGATATATTTCCTTCTGCTGTTCCTGCTATCTCTACATACAGTACCTCTTCTGGTGGAAGTGTGAAAAAAATGGGAAGACAGGGTGCTGTGGAGACTACATTAACTTCCTGAAGGGTATAGGTTATACATCTCATGAAACAAATGCTTATGTATTAAGGCTATAATATTATATTATTATATAATATAATATTTTACAATTATATATTTTGTCTGCCTTTCCATTTGAATCATCAGTATAGCTTGTTAGTGGACAAAATGTTAACCTTTGAATTTATATTCTCAACTTAACTTTATGCTGACTAGAACAAATCCAGAAAGACAGGTAGCTGAACTAAGGTCCAATAACATTGTTTATGGTTGTATCCAAAATTGCCTTCATATTCTATACATTTTGTCAATAAATAAGAGTACAGATCCCGTCTGAAAGCAAACCATTTATCTGCCTTAGTCTATGTTGCCGGCTTCTGGACATTCTGATCTCTGCTTTCCAGCAAAGGGATTGATTTTGCTAATATAGGATAACCATACATACATACATACATACATACATACATACATACAT